TTAAAACTAAAAGAAACAAAAAACTCTCACTGAGTCTTAGCAGCAACCTGCCTTCAGGTTCCCATTTCCACTTCCTGCTGAGACATGTTTGAGTTGGGCTGCTAGTCAGCCGGGCGGCTTTGAGAATGGGAAACATACAGCCCCAGGGCCACCAGGCAGCTGAAGTGTAGCCTAGAGTGATTTTGGAAGAATTTGTCCTCTGTCCCTGGATCCAAAAACTGGTGTCTCCCTCTCATGTGGAAAAGTCGAAGGTGAGAGGTGGGCTGGTGCCTCTTTGATGGAAAGACAGAGGGATGAAATTGCTGAGGGAGTGAGTTACATTTCCACAGTGGTAAGGCCACAAGATGTTTTCCCCTAGGGTGAGGGTAAGCATGGAGGTGTCAGGGCTCAAGTTAAAGGAGGGCTGCCTGCCAGGATGAGGTGACCCCAGTGGAAAGGGTATGTCGAGTACAATGCCACCCCAGGAAAGAATCAGCATTGGGACGTCTGTCATGCAGAAGGCAGTACCAGTCCAGGACACCGTCATCACTATCTCCCCTCCTTCCTATTTACGCAAGCTCAGAAGGCACCATCTGCAGCAGGAGGCAGGGGAAGGTGAAGGAACCAGGAGAGAAAAACTGCCTGGCCCCTCCTGCCACAAATTTGTGAGCCAGCTGTAGGGGAGGGAAGAAGCTTTGAAATGGATAAGAGTTTGCCTTTCAAGTTAAATTAGGTGGAAAATGAGACTATGTCTGAAGGTACCTGGGAAAGCAAAGGAATCTGCCAAGGAGATTGGATAGAGAAGGTTTAGAGGGTAGTGGTGTGAATACAAGATCAAGTTATTCCCACAAGAAGCTTCAAGCAGTGCCTCCACACTCCGGGACCTGAACAAGGTATCTTTAGGACGTGCTGAGATAGTAATTCCCTTAGCTCTCAAGGTAACTGTGTGGGGCCTGGAGAAAGCAGAGACCCCAGGGGCTAACATATCTGGATGTTTCTGGCCACAATACAATTATTACTTTCTGCATATGCCATGACCTAAACAATATTGGGAGCCTTGCCTATTGCTCTTCAGCAAAATAGTTACAACTAGCAGCAAGTAATTGATTGTGATTACCTAAGAAAGTGACATTTCCTATCCATCGCCTCAGCAACCACAAGAGAAGTAAATAAATCACCTCTCCTGTTTAACTAAGTGTTTGACCAAGCTACAAGGAATGAGCCTCATATTTTTTAGGTGAAAATTATATCTTTTTCCAACTAGTATATATGGAAAATAGAATATGTGCATATGTTTGATTCTGTAAACTAATGTCAAAATTCCAGAAGATTCTTAAAGCCTCAGGAGGAATGACTCAACAAGGGGAATTTGAGGAAGGGGGTAGTGCTAAAAAGCTGAAGCAGAAGAGATTTGATCAGTTATTGACTAAAGGAGCTGTCAATCATTTCTGCTCAGCAAATTGGGTCACAGCGTATTAGTTCACAACAAATTAGATCACAGGAAAGGAGAACCCAGTGGGTGGTCCTAAAGGGAACTCAAGGTTTGAAAGGAGGTGATGTAAGGCAGGCTGACCTTGAGAAAGATGTGGCTGTCATAGAAGCCAGACTCAACTGCCATATTAGGGTGATGGATGAAGACTAGAAGCTTTAGAGAAGGGTAGAGCCAGCATTAGTTTCTGGCTGGTGTGCATGCTTCAGTCAAACAAAAACTACACAGAAATGTGAGGCAAAGAGGAAAGGATCAGAAAGCAAAGATAGAATCTGGAACCACGGGAAACTCCAGGAGACAGGTAGAGGGAGAAGCTGGCTCGAAGCCCAGAGGCAGACACAAAATGTCCCACTCACCGAAGGGATCAGAACAGGGTGGGCCTGAGAAGCAGGGTCCAGAGGAGGTGCACACCAGCCCTCAGCTGGAAAAGGGCATCGGAGAAGGTTCCGGGAGAGATTGAATTCCTACCCAGCTTGATAGATGGGCCAACCCAAACCTGCCATGGATTAGAAGTTGTTGACTGTCATTTTTCCAGTTCATATCAAGGAAAAGGTAAGGACGGGGTACTTTTTCAGATCTAGCAACCAATAATTGGTGACCATAAGAAAGCTAAACTACTTTTGCTCAATTATTTCAATATCTGTGGGGAGAGAAGTGTTCTTTTTGAAAATGTTCATGGAAGTCTTGGCTTATATTTAAGAAGGTTCAAGAGATACTACACATTGATGCTGATGAGAGGAGAAATCTGGATGCTCATAGCACTTAGCACACAGAGCAAATATTTTCAACATATTTGCCCCACCCTTTTCCATGCACACAAGGTTGAAAATAGAGTTTGAGGGAAAGCAACTGATTAAAAACTTGTAAACTTTCCCCTAACAATTTGAAATCTAGAGATGCGCCAATGTTCTTAAAGATAAGGGTGGATGGGGCTGTTGGGCAGAAATTTAATATCTCGATTTTTCTCTACATTTTTTTAATTCAATGATCACTGAAAAAATGATTTGTTCTGTGCCCTGTGCACTTCTAGAAACTTATCTGATTTCAGAGGCTACATCCCTCACTATATACATGGAAGACCGAGATGGGGTCCTCACGTGGTATCAGAGCAGGTTGGTTCAGTCTCTGAAGGGCAGAGGTGCAGTCAGCTCGGGTGAGGGGAGGCATTTGAGGTATACAACAAGCAACCAACAACTGGCATAATTTTGTACTTTTCAGCCAGTGGTTTTTGTCAGGACCAAGTCCTCTGTGAGGCGGAGGAGAGGAGGGTAATGGGAGTGTGCTTAGAGGGGAAGGGAGGGAGTGACTTGGAACTGGTGTAGCCAGGAGACATTTCACCTCCATATGGAATTCATATGGAGTTATGTGGCTTAATTTTTTTTTAATTAAAAAAAATGGCAAGGATGAATTGAAGAGCCTTGGCCAATTTTGGTGTGGACCAATGAAGTTAACAAATTGGGACAGATTGCCAAAGTAGGGTATGTTTTTCATTTTCTTTTTGAAAGAACAAAATAATAACAGACAAGTTCATGTATTTCCAGTTCAAGAGGGGACTAGGTATGATGATATAATGGACAGAACACTTACTCAGAAGGCAGGAGAATGGGTCTAGGCCCACCTTGAACAAATCATTTAAAATTCTCAGCCTCAGTTTCCCTTCTATAAAATAAGCTCTTTCTGTATGATCTTTAAAGTCCATTCAGTGGTGGAATTTTAACGCTGACGAATTTGTTGCAAAGAACAAATAAAGTAGGTACTTTAAAAATAGTAAAGGCTATAGAATATGACTTTTTTGAGTTCATCTTTCGCTTGCCTCTGGGCTGAGGCTCCACATCTCACCAGCTGCCCCTGCTGCCCACAAAAGCCTGAAGCAGGAACCCAAGTTCTTGATTAAATGACAAATGGGACAGCTCCCCATGGATGGAGGCAACTAGTAGCTGCAGGTGTTGGTGAAAGACTGTCTACTCAGAAGGGGTTCCCTCCCAGAATGAGCACTGGGGAAGTGAGGATTTGATAAGAAACTGGCATTTGGAGGAGTGTTTATTGGAAAGCAGCTCTGCCCCTGTACAAGGAGTCTTTACCCAGAATGTCCATGAAGCCCTGTGTTCTTGCAAATGGGGAATGCAGCCTGTATTCTTCTGCCTCTCGTATTAGTTTCATCAATAGGCCAGTTACCAGACCTAAAAGCCTCAAGGTGCTGCCCCATTCCAGGCCTGCCTATCATTTCTACACCCCATTACTCACTTTTATGAGCCTGAGTTCAGTTTGACCCTGGTTATACACTAAGTCCTGAAGTTTACAATATGTTGTTTAGCTTCTTGTGCAAAATGAGGCCCTTTATTTTTTTCACACGCCAGTTGCTTTGCAGGGCTCCCAGGATTGAATGTTTTGCATCTGCCTCTTCTCTGCAGCTTCTCTATTCCCTGCTGTTATCTTTGGCTCTGTTGCTATGGGCGGGAATATTTTTTTGTCCTTGCTTAATAACTGCCTGGCTGCGAGAGGAGCTCATTTCTCATTGTATTGGTGGAGGATTAGCCGAGATGTTTGGGAGATATTTCCTGTATTAAGCAGCAGGGGAGAGCTTTCTGGGCCTGTGCCTTCCTTTGACATAACGTCATACATTTTTTTTTTTTTCACTTTCTCCCTTGGAATGTGCTGAGGCCAGTTATTTGCATCCAGAGCAGCAACTCCTCCCTGACACTTTGCAGATTCCCATCCTTTCCAGGTGCCCTTGTATAAACACTTCCTGGGGAGGCTGCAGTGAATCTCAGGCAATCATTTATTGATTTTTCTGATATTTGAGGCTCAGGAATACTGTGTGCACTACTGGGCTGGGCTGCTTCGGACGGGCTGCATCACCAACCTGCTTTCCAGGCTTAATCACCTTTAAGCCTTGCATACTTGAGATTATCTGACAATCAACTCATCGGCTTTCCATTGGAGCCAATACCTCACTGACCATTAACTCAAAGTAGATATTCTGTGTTGCCTAGAAGTAATAGGATATCAAGTTTACAGCTCTGTCTGAAACCCTCAACTAACTGCCTGTAGATTTTTGATATTTTTATGTCTGCTTATGACAATCCTCAGAAAATGGAGAAAAGCTATCTGGAAAAGTTACCAAAGGAGGGCAAAAGTCTGAGAATTTTTGGTTCTTGATTAGATTGTGTTAAAGAAGAATAAATGCTCAAAATCTGGAAGTTGCTACTAAAAGTTTGGTGGCATTGCAGTGGAAATGACACAGGCTGGGCTCAGAGCAGGAGTCTCTGGATTTTAAGTCGGAGGTCACTCCTTCAAAGCTCTGGAATTTGGGAGACACTCATCTCTCTTTTTTTTCTCTCACAATTTTCTCATCTGTAATATGAGAGTGATTCTGACTCATAAAATTGTTGCTGAGAATAGTGCGAGAACACCTTGTAAACCACAAATACAAGATTATTAGAATTATGTGAGAATATGTGTGAAAACATTTGCAAACTGCAAAAGACTTTACAAGTGCTAATAGCTGTAGGGACTACAAGTGAAATCCTGCTAAAGATTTAAACACACTTCAGAGAGTTGGGAGCACCATTTTTCCTTGCAGTGGCTATTTATCCTTCTTTTTAAATCTCATCTGAATCCCCTGCCTGAGTCGGAGGAATCCCCCATCATACCAGGCCCAGCCTATGTGCCACCAGAGTAGTACAGTTGCCAGATGCTTGCTTCCTAGTCTTGGGCAGGAGACTAGGTCCTGGTGGCTTGGCCAGATCAGATGCTCCTGCCCTGGACTTTGCTCTAGAATCCAGTAATATAAAGGAGATCCATTCTGGCTATAGGAGGACACAGGTGACCCCCACATCTATGCTGGACAAGCAATGGTAGGGGATCAAATGAGGCAGCCACTGTTCACCTGGCTGCTGGGAGCCGGGAGCAGCTGGTAGTTCCTTCAGTTGTTGGGCAGCTTGCATGTCACTCCTGGTGGCCTCACCTCCCAGCCAGGTTTTGCAGATGACTCAAGAGATTGCCTAAGCTACCCTAGATCCTTTTATCGAAAAGTTTATTATGTTCAACTTCAAACATACAGAAAACTAGAGGGAATAGCATAGTGACGCCCTGGATACTTGTTATCCAGTTCAACAATTATCAATATTTTGACAAGTATTTCACCTGTTTCTTCTCCTTCCCTGACCTCTTGTTCTTGTTTTTGGTTGAAGCATGTCAAGGTAAATACAAAATATCATATTATTTCACCTATAAATATCTCAGTGGGCATTTCTAACTGAAAAGAACATTTTTTTGACATGACCATGTCATTTTTCCACCCAATGGCATTAATGGTAATGCTCCAGTTACCCTATACATCCCAATATACATTTCTGCTCAGATAAGCAAGAAACCCTTTGCCTTACTTGTAAGACAAATAGCACTCTCTCCCTTGGTTTATCATCTTGGCCCACGAAGTAGAAATGCCACCCTCTGGAGGTACTGAGGAGAGTAACTTCCACCCCTCTCCTCTTTCACTCTGTACAGGAGTGACTTACCTGGTGAATGAATTGGGAGTAAAGACCTGCAATGTGTGGCTCGGGCTCTTCCCAGCACCTCTCTGGAGATCTGCTTGCCCACAGGGCCCACCTCCAGCTTCCAAGGACTGAGCACATGTGGTCAGTGCCCAGGGCCACATCATAGGGGAGATCTGGAGTTTTGTCTCTTCCCTGAGGAGTGTGAGGAATGATTCTGGGTATATAGATCTCTCTACATCCAAACTACCCCTATATGACACAGCCTGAGATGTGGCTTGGAGCAAATAACATGCTTTGACAGTGCATCCACGCTGCACTCTATTGGCAATAAAGCTGATGTTTTCATCTCTTTAGTTTGATGTCGGCATTATTCTCCAACATCCCAAATTTAGTGGAAAAAACGAAAAGGCAATCTTTTTATGAGCCATCACTCTAACATACTCAAATGTATTCAACAACCATTCCTCACACCAAACCCAGCACTAAGACCAGTGATGCAAAGATGAAGAGAACAACATCTCTGTCCTACTGAGCCCACTGCCCACAGGGGTGATCACAGCAAACAGAGGCAACTCTTGGGATTCTGTGGGCACAGATTCTGGGAAGTGCTCCCAGACTCTGTCATGGGTGGGGGGGGTGTACATTTGGATGAACAAGATTTCCTCAGAGAGAGCAGGGGGACGGGCATCCTGACAGACGACCTATGTGCAAAGCTCTGTCCCAAGCACAAAGCACAGAGGACAGGACGGGGTTGGTGGGTGTCAGAGAGCCTGGAGCTGTGGAGGCGGGAGGCCAGGGTCAGGTGGTGAAGAGGCACAAGTGTCCACCTAAGACACTCGGACCCCCTTGGAAATGCAAGGGGGTGACATTGAAGGTTTATAAACAGAGGAGATTTTTGAAATATCTTTTATCAGAAGTGTGGAGAATGAATATACAGAAATGAGACGTGACTCTGAGAGAGCACTTAGGATCCTATTGACAACAACCCACAGGAGACCCAGGAGGACTTGGGCAAAGCGGGCAGGAGGCAAATTCAAGAGATATTCTGGAGATTTGATTGCAGCTCCACTTGTTCCAAAAAATAATGTTTCTGTAAATATGCATAGACTATAGCAAGATTTTAAAAAATAGAAGTAAACAGCACCCGGGTGGAGATGCTCAGACAGCACCTGGTGTCATAAGCTCCAGAAAGGATGGGCTGTAGATAATGATTTAGGACTTAATACCATTCAGGTGGTAATTGACATGGGGATTCATGATTTCCCAAGAAAATGGTTGCAGATTACAGTTTGTGCAATATTGTGCCTTTAGGAATTGTTGGGAGCTCACACAAAATTGCTTTGTTCTGGTAAGAAGGTAGTTTAGTAGTGTGGCAAGGAATCTGATCTGATATCGTGTTAGCCTACCTTGTACTCCAATACAAGTAGACAAGCATTTCAACATTTCCCCATTGCTTCTGAATTGTACGAATCCCTAAGTTAGAGGTCAACCATAGTATGAGTTTACCTTATCTTATAATCCTCTCTCCTAATTCTTCCTGGAATATACTCTATATCAAATAATAGGACTTCTGTCCAATCCCTAGAAACCCTGTGTCTGTGCCTTCACTTGGATATTTCTTCCTTCTGGAATACTTTCCACCCAAGACCTCGTCTTTCTGAAATCCTGTTCATTTAAAGAGGCAGTACTCTGATGTCATTTCTTCTATGAACATTTCCCTAATGGTTGAACTTCTGCCAACTTTTGTTAAGAACATTATACATGCAAAGCACTATACTAAGCATGAGAGAGATGCCCATATCAATGAGACACAGTTCCCACCCACTAAAAGGTCAAATCCAGCAATCTGTGTGACCCACCAACTCTATTATGAAGTGATTTGCATTTCTCAAAGTCTAGCCCCCCCACCCCCTAACTACACACTGTTAAAATTCAGATTCCAAGGCCACACCCAAAATCCACTGGATGAGAATGTCCAGTGTGAAGCTTAGAAATACATTTTTAGACAAGTCCCTTAGGGACCTTTGTGCCCTAGGTAGAATATTTGACTTCCTGCCCAACAGGGTTATTGTTAAGGTAAAGTTGAGACACACATGGGTGTGACAATGCTTTGAAAATGGCAAGGCATCATTTTAAGGGACTGTGGTAGGTATTTTTTTTCTTTTTTTTTTTATTAAGGTATTATTGATATACACTCTTATGAAGTTTTCACATGAAAAAACAATGTGTTCCTACATTTACCCATATTATCAAGTCCCCACCCATACCCCATTGCAGTCACTGCCCATCAGTGTATAAGATGCCATAGATTCACTATTTGCCTTCTCTGTGCTATACTGTCNTGTGCCCTAGGTAGAATATTTGACTTCCTGCCCAACAGGGTTATTGTTAAGGTAAAGTTGAGACACACATGGGTGTGACAATGCTTTGAAAATGGCAAGGCATCATTTTAAGGGACTGTGGTAGGTATTTTTTTTCTTTTTTTTTTATTAAGGTATTATTGATATACACTCTTATGAAGTTTTCACATGAAAAAACAATGTGTTCCTACATTTACCCATATTATCAAGTCCCCACCCATACCCCATTGCAGTCACTGCCCATCAGTGTATAAGATGCCATAGATTCACTATTTGCCTTCTCTGTGCTATACTGTCTTCCCCTGGACCCCTCACACCATGTCTACTAAACATAATACCCCTCAATCCCCTTCTCCCTCCCTCCCCACCCACCATCCCACACCCCTCCCCATTGGTAACTGCTAGTGTGGTAGGTATTTTTTAACCAAAGTGCATTTTTCATTTCTGTTCCAAAATCCTATACCTTTTGGCCTTGACCTTAAGTTCATCTCTGTCCCACCCTAGGGGTGGCACAGGTGATTTTTAGGGGATTCATACTGTCTATTGGATGGAGAGGCACATGTGTCAGATATTACTCATATCTTTACTGTAAACTCCACCCAGAATCTGAAAACATGGTTAAACTCCAGCTGCTTACATCACCACCAACTTTGATTAGGAGCCATAAAAAATAGGAAGCATCTGGAGGTCAAAATCAGAGTTGGCCGTGGACAAGATGGTGAAGTTAGCAGTTTTATCCATAGGGTTTCCTGCCTGGCCTTTCTTTGCCTTCCCTACTCCTCACCCACACCTTGGGGGCCTTTCTAGCCAAGACACCTTCCCTAGTTTGGAGAAGAGCTGATGACCTAATTCTTACTAAGGTATTAGTGACTTAAGAGTTAACCTTCTCAGGTTTAGAATGGGATGGACTATGAGGCAGTGCTTCACTCAGAATAAGTAAATAGTGGTAGAATTGTAGTCAAATGACAAGCAAGTCAGGGATATTTTTACTTGGAGGAATATTCTACAGCCACCCCACCCCCACCTCACCAAGTATGATGCCACACAGGTGACCTCCCACTACTGCAGGTTATCCTAGGACCAGCCCCGGCGGCTAGGAGCATTGGTCATTTACTCTGGGCACCAGATAGATAACACATAATGGGCAAACTGCCAGAAGTCATTAAAATCCAGGAAAGAGTAACACCATAATACAGTTATGATGAGTACGTCTCAGGCCGCGGCTAATCTGGGCTTGGGAAACTTTCTGGGCTGGCTTAGCTCCAAGGCCACAGAGCGCTGCAGTTAATCCTCCAGGACTCGGATGGTGTCCAGAATCCTCTCCGGTATGGGCTGATCGCCTGTTTCTAGGCGCAGCCGGCCTCCACCCATATCCTGATGGGACACAGTAGGAGAAAGACCACATGGAAAAGAGAGAGTTTAGTGAAATAGGAAGAATGTTTAGCTGATTCTCAGGGAAACCTGGAGTCCAGACCCATCAGTGCCACTATTAAACTGGGTCACCATATGCAGGTGACTTCCCCAGTGACAGGCTCCATTTCCTCATTGGAAAGGGAGGGCCTTAGGTTAGGGGCCTTAGAATCAAAAGCCATGCCGGTCCTGAGAAGCAACTATCCTGTGTTCCAAAATAAACAGAACCTTATGCATCCTCCATTACGAAGGGGTAGAGGTTCTTATGTGGCCACACATCCAACAGTCATGCAGCATGTGGTGCCTTTGCTTCTCAAAGTGTGGTCCCTGGAACCTACAGCGTTGGCCCCCTTGAAGCTGGGGCAGAATCCCAGCCCTGCCTACTCAACCAGCCTGTGTGTACACAAGATGCCCTGGTAGTCCAGCTGCACACTGGAGTTTAAGAAGGCCCTGTTTATGTGTGTGGCACTTGTCTGGGCATAAACTTTTCTTGGTTCCTCATCACTGCAAAGTAAGCCCAAACTCCTTAACAAGGCTCAAGGGCCACCGCGAGCTGGTTCCTGCCTCCCTGCCCAGCTTTGCCTCCCAGGTCCCCCCTTTACTCTCTTCAGGGCATCCATGAGGACCTCCCTTGCTATGCTGAACAGGCCATGTGACAATCAGATGCAAAATTCCCTCTGCTCCACATAATTTTCTCTACAGAACCATCTGCCTTTGTTATCTCCTGTGTTATTCCTTCAACCAATAATCAGGGAGAATTTCCTACATCAGGCACCCTTCCTGGGACTGTCCTCACGAAGCATATATTGCAAGTCCTCTAAGTTTCAGCTTCAAACCACATTCCCCAGAATGGTTTTCCTGACTCCCTGAGAAGGTTAAATCCCTGTGCCCTACAGTCATAGTGGCCTGCACACCCCTTTGTAACACATTACATTTTAGTCTAGTTGGTGATTCGAGTCTTCTTTCCCTGTTGGACTGCAACTCCATGAAGGCAGGGCCTGTGTCTTGCTTGCTGCTTGCAACCTCTAATGCCTAACCCACCAGCTGGCACAGAGGGGCGCTCCATGAATAGCCACTCAGTAGAGGGGACAGGCAGGGAGGGACATGGCTGAGATACAAGGATTAGGGGTGTGAAAATGGGATTCTGCTGGCTCTCATCACAGACATGAGGGAACAACTTTTATCTTGGACTCTTATTTCTTTGATCTAAACTTCCAAAGAGATTATCTGTGCCCATAATGTTGTGCCCTTTGGAGAAAGGAAATCTAAGTTGGCATCCATAGTGGAATTCCCATCTGCCCAGATCTGACTGGGATCCAGGCCTTACTCTCCCTTCCACTGAGAAAACTGTGGGCGTGAATTCTGGGTGTGACTGCTGTGGGGTCTGGACTATGCGCTGCTCTCTTCAAGCCCTGGTGACAGACTGCAGCTTGCTTCCCAGGTGGAAGGAGATAGTAGATGGGCCCAAATGATGCGGGAGGGACAGAGGCTGAGACGAGAGCAGACCTGCAAAGATGGAGGTTCAGGGATTGTTAAAAAATCAAACTTTACTTACAGATAGTGGAACATGAAGGTTTATTCTAGCTTGATAAATTGGGACAGTTGATAAAAAAGGGAATAGTTATTTTCTCTCACCCTTTGTAGGTGGCCAAGTGCAAGGAGCTGTGGAAATCTAAGGAAATCCAGACTGGTTATCAGAGACCACGGGGACTGACTTCAGGCCCTCCTGCCTTCACTGCTTAGTATCAACAGGTAATCAGCAAATAATAGGGTCAATGCTTTCTTCAATGTTTTCCACCGTTACCTCACCTCTTTTCATGAGTTTCTCAGGCACATAAGGTGGGTGGTGCTGATCCTGTGCTAGCAAGGGAACAATCTATGCCGATCCTGTGCTAGCAAGGGAACAATCTATGCTGATCCTGTGCTAGCAAGGGAACAATCTATGCCGATCCTGTGCTAGCAAGGGAACAATCTATGCTCTGAGAGCTTAACTGACCTGCCCCAGCGCACACAAACCCTCCTGACTTCCAGCTTGCTGTGGTTTTCATCAGCCACCATGGCATGAAAACCACAGTGATGCCAGGCAGATAGCTCTGTGACCTTGAGCTCTGAGCAAAATTCCTTATGACTACAGCCGACACGCATGGCCTTGATACAGCCCAGCAGGGAAGGCAAGAAAAGGGTCACCCCGAGTTGGGACAGGGTAACTCTGTGCCTCTACTGTGTGAGGAAACCTTTGGGTAAATTCCTTTTTCCATTACAACTCCCCTTAAATAAACTAACCAAAAGAAAGCAGACCCAAGTTTCTGCATATTTGAATTGTTTTGTATTATTTTAGCTGGTCGTAGAGTACTTGTGAGTCAGAAGCAGTTTCAGGAAACACAGCCCAAATCACCAGTTACAATCTAGGTTCCTGTTTTCTAAGATCCCTCAGATGTGTGTACATGTGTTTGTGAATGCACACACACACTCACATACTCACTCCAGCTCTCACACATGCCTACACTCATTTTCACAAACTGACACATTCACGAACACTCACACATAAAACTTACATGACTTCCCACATATGTTCTCACATGCACCAGCTCACATCACACCCACAGCCACTCATTCACCCCCATACACACACACACACATTCACATGCACCCTCACATGCTTATACTCACAGAAATATACACTGTCATGCACACACACTACACACACACACACACACCTGTCTCTTGCCAAGTTTTCCTGATACAAAATGTAAGCAAGGCATACTCTGCAAAAAATGCACTTGTTGCATGAGATTAAAACCAGATAATGTGCACTTCCAAATATCCACGCATTTTCCTTTGCAGACATCAGAATGTTTGGCTGAGGCAAGCTTTTGCTCTGCAGCTCCCTTTTCTTGGGATGTGTGAATCAGTTATTCCTAATCAGCCCTTCCCATCATGGCAGAGCGGTGGGGAAAATGAGGACAATGAACTCTGTTTCATCACAAAAGATACACACTAGAAAGTCAATTCGGAGCATCTGGGCACTGAAGGAACTCTGCAAAGTGACAACTCCTGCCCCCACCTCAGAAAGAGCCATCTTCCCAGATAGAGGGAACACCAGTATCCTTCCTACTGCCACTCCACTTTCTGCCCTCTTTCTCATAACTTCTCAGCAAAACCCTAGAAGCCCTTCACACCTCTGGACCTTCCCGAAATGGTGCCTTGTGGGCACACCAGCCTTCCTCGGGGGAATTCCCTGCAGAACCCAGAGAGGCTGGGACACAGCAATGGCTCTGTGTCTGTGGGACTCAGGTTCTCTTCTGTAAAATGGAGAGAGTACATGATACTCCTGGCTTCTATACAAAGCTAATCTTTACCTTCATCTTTTTGTGTCATTTAGTCGTGTCTGTTTCCTTGTGGCATCTATCTGCCTCAGATTTGTGTTGTGTTCCCCACAGACTGTAAACACACAGCAAAGGAAGCCTTCTCTGAGCAATGGTAAGTATAAGGTTCCTGGAAATTAAGCCCTCAATTATTGCTTTTTGATGATGGTGGCAACAATGAACTCTCAGTCTATGTGCACATCGAGGTGATTTGATTTCAGAGGGAGGAGGATCACTGGTTTACTTTTGTGACTTTTGCTTCTCAGTGCTAATCCCAGCACAGGTAACAAGGTATCGTGTCAGTGTGGACAGCGAGGGAGCTCTTTCTTATGATACTTTATCCCAAATTTAGCACTAAGAAGGCTCACTGGCTGTTGGGAGGAAAATGAAACCCAGTTCTCCATCTTCCAAGCAGATGTTGAGGACTAGAGGCAAATGAAGAGCTTTCTCTACTTAATGACAGGCGGTAACCCCACAGCAGGGTGAGGCCATGCAAGCAAATTACTGAGAAGTGGTTCAATTTGATACTCACCATTTAGTAAACATTCTGGCACATATTAGGCTGCCAATAAATGTGTGAAATGAATGAATAAAAGGGTCCATCTTTTCCTTCCCTTCACTTGTGGGTTCCTTTTTTAGATGTGTCCATACAGCTCACTTGTACATGGCAACCATGTCTCCCCAGTAATAAGTTCCATAAATAGTACTAGACCCTCACATTGACTAGGACTTCCTGGTAACACTGTCTTTGAGAGCATGCGATGGAAATCCATTCAGAAAATAAGGACTTTCCCTTTCTTAACCTCCAGCTTTCTATTATGGTGCATTCCAGAGCTGTCCTCATCCCCCACACAGTGTAACCAGACTCTTTAGATGCACTCTAGAGTCTAGATGGTGAGCTCCTTCAGAAAAGGGTGAGTCTTAGGTATCTCAACTCTAGCATTCAGCACATTAAGGGCACTCAATAAACAACAAGTGATTATGAACATACTGTTGAGGAAATCAGTAAGATGGAAAAGGATTGCACCTGTGTTAGGTCAGTTTAATGACATCCATTACAAAACCCCAGGAGTTCTGAAGAATAGGCTGCCTTCCCCAGAAATAGGCAAGACAGAAAGATTGCCACAAGCCGTGGACTCAGCAGTTATGTGGAAGACGGCTATGGGTTGCTCAGTAGAGGTGATGCAGGGTGGTGGCTAAGAGGAAGGCTACTTGAGTTTGCTTCCTGGCTCTACTCATTCATTCTGTGACTGAGAGAGGCCATGTAATCTCAGCATGTCTCTATTTTCTTATCTGGAAAATGGGGTAATAATCATTGAGAAGAACAAATGAGTTCATACAGGTAAAGGGCCTGACAAACACTCAGTTTTCAAGACAGTAGCATTCACTGGGATTGAAGGAAGTGGCACCAGCTACCATGGAAAGGAACTGAATGAGAAAAAAAAGAAAAAGAATATTTTCCATTAAACCCACTGACCTTAATTCCATTTCTCGTTCTTTTCACTTCTAACAGGGCTCCCTTCCTCCAGCCCTGCTCTCCCTGGCACGTGCTCCCGTGTTTACAGGGCCATCCCTCTAAGTGCATATCTGACCGTGTCACTGTCTTCTTCAAGGCCTCTCATGGCTCCTTCTGCACAAGAAAGCACATCGCTCAGCACCTTGCCAGTCTGATCACCGTCCAGCTTCACCTGCACCACCTGTCAGTGCCCACCTCCCCCCCATAACAGGATCTGGGGACACTTGGCTTTTTGAACTTCTTGCACACATGCTGCTCTCAAGCCTCAGATCCAAGCTGCTCCTGCTGTCTGGAATGGCTCTTCCCCACCCAACCTCATCCTGCCCGTGTCACCAGCAAGCTCCTGTAACTCCTTCAGAGTCCAGGTGAGGTGTCACCTTGCTGGGGAAGCTGTTTTCAAAACTGTTAGGGACTGAACTGTGTTCCCCAAAATGCGTATGTTGAAATCCTAACCACCAGCACCTAAGAATGTGACTTTGTTTAGAGATAGGGCCTTTTGAAAGATGACTAAGTTAAAATGGGGTCATTAAGGTGGGCCCTAATCTAATGTGATTGGTGTCCTTAGAAGAAGAGGACATTGGGACCCACAGAGAGATACCTGGAATGTGCACGTGCAGAGGAAGGACCATGTGAGATGACAGGGAGAAGGCAGCCATCAGCAAGCCAAGGAGAGAGTCCTCAGGAGAAGCCCACCCTGCTGACACGGTGATCTTAGACTTCCAGGCTCCAGAACTGTGAGAAATAAATTGCTGTTGTTTAAGCCATTCATTTATTGGTATTTTATTATGCAGCCCAGGCAAACCAATACAGATGCCCATAGAGTAGCCTTGATTTAGGCTTTCAGCATAACATATATGCCATCTTTTTGGCATCTCCTATCAGGCAGGGCTCAGAAACACTCTTTATGCTTTACCCTAAACCCTATGTGGCTACTGTAAACATGTGTTAATAAATGTCATCAAGAACTGGTCAGGGACACATTCTCCTCCAACTCTGTATTATTTTTTTTAATGTATGTAAATGTTACATTCTACTCTCTATAAGGTTTATCTATAAAAATGCTTTATAATTTAAATTACTGGTTAAAATTACTTCCACTGGTTAAAATCCCCTAACTTGGAGTGAAGTGACTTTTGATGGACATGTGCCACGGTGTCTGATGACTTTTAGTGTCTCCTGTTTGCAGTCCTGCTCTTGAGTGTGAGAGTCATTGGACAGGCATCCCAGTGGGCAGGAACTATGGAGGGAGAATTTGCCAGGAACTGTTTCCAGAGAACGAAGTAGGGGGAGTCTGAGGACACCCAGATACCAAGGCTGATACCACATAATGATACTGAGAAGTTAGAAAACCTGTGGTTGGGAGGTGCTGTGCTTGGGGATGTTTGCCAGAAAACCATTTGTTCAAGAGTCAGGGAAGGTGTCATGATACCCACAGTTTTGGGGGTATGCATCAGCCAACTGTGACCAGACAAAACCAGATGTTGATTATTTGGATAAAATGGATGATATTGTTCATCTGTAAAATGTGTAAAATAATACTTATCTCATGGGATTATTTTAGAGTTAATTGAAAATTCATGTAAAAGAGCTTAGCACATACTAATTACTAAATAAGTAGAAACCATTATTTTAATCCTAATCATTACTACCCCCTTAATACTCATCATTATTACCCCCACAAATACCCAGAAGGGAACTGCCTGAGTAGAAGTTACTGTGTTCATGTGTAAATAATATTACTCTCTTTGGAAAAAAATAACTCAGGAAACTGAGCCCTAAATAACATGAAAGACAAATTTCCATCTTGAACAGACATGATTTAAGGATGAGTGAAAGGGAAAGAAAATGTACACATTGCCACTGTTAAATAGCTCAAAAATTTTCAACACCTAGTTTCATAAGTGGAAAAAATAATCCATGTAATAACCATTCTTTGATGGGCACTTACTATCTTTCAGGTACTTTATAAACATTTTTTCATTCAGTCTCAAAATCCTGTAGCCACTACTATCAGAGGACTGATCAGACTCAGTCAGAATTACTGCCATAATCAACCTGGGGGTAAAATTGCAGTATTTCCAGAATCTCTCACCTAACGTCCCTCTCCATATCAATAGTTTACATGGATGGAGAGAAGTAGTTCATTCCCATATGAATAGGTGCTTAAAAGGGGTGCAGTGTGTCCTGGCTTTGGTGGACCCAGGAGCTGGATGGATGCTCCTTGGTTTATTGTGACCCTGAGTGGTATCCTGGGGCCCCAACTCCTATACAGGGGTAGGGCTGTCAGAGTAGAATAAGCCTGAACCCCCTTGGGAATAGCAAACTAATATTGTGTATGATGTTATGCTCGCCTCTGATTCTCTTACAGATAACTGGCATTATTGCAATAGGTTTTGGGTCTTGTAGGCTACAGAAGTGTGTTTATCCCACACTTGGCACAAGTGCTGATGCCCTTGTGCCCCTTGGCATGCAAGGGCATCAGGTGGGACTGGGATAAAACATGTGCAGTTACCTCCACTGTTGCAAAACAGATGCACTAGATGTCCGGGTGACTAGAGCCTCTAGTAGCAACTTGTTGGCCATTTTCCTTGGCATCCCCAGGGAATGATGGAGCAGACAACTTGGTCCAGGGCAGAAGACAATGTGGGCTATAGTCCATCAGTGAGGCCTGCCTCTGCCTGGCAGGAATGCATTATTGTGACCAAGTCCCACTACATGGCCCTGAACATTTCAACACATGGACCAGCGATGGCTGGCCCTTCTGGCACCTTGGGGACAAAACCTGGAAGATGGCCTCCTGTGTGTTTCCGGAGTAACAGCAGAGTGGCCCCTAAAGGTCATGGTAGGGTACCCAAATGGCTGGAAGGTCAAACCACTTTGTGGGGAAGTTGTGTCTTACTATTGTGGCTGGTGCCTGTGTTTCCAGTAGAGCTACATCTATCCTGTTCCTGCCACTGTCCTATCACGGACCACTCTCTGCATGCATCCTACCTGATGGACAGGATTAGCCTGTGCTGGTGTTCACCTACAGTCCCTGTGGCCTGGATCTGCACCCCCAGCTGCTTGTTTGCTTCTGCACAGCTGGCCTCCTGTGGAGTGCATATGACGTTGAATCTAGCTAGATCCTCTGGCTTGAGTATTATCATTATTTCATTGCTGTTGTTATTGTATACTATTATTCTGGTTGCAGTGCTCCAGTTTTCTCACACAGGGGCCATTGTGGAAGATTGGAAGCAAATAGATTGTGAGGCAAGATTTCTGGAAGGGTGGGCTGTAGATAAAATTGCAGTATTTCCAGAATTTTTCACCTGGCCTTAGTCCATCTCCATATCAATAGGTGCTTACAAAGGGTGGAGAGCACTAGTCCATTTCCATGTGAATAGGTGCTTACAAGGGGCAAGGGAAGAGGTAAGCACACATGGCACCTGAGAGGTGTTTCTTATTTCTTCCAAGCCAGGGCAGGGAGAGACATGGGTGAGCAGAGCCAGGATTTTTGTAAACAATAAAAGGCCTTCTCCCCATCTGGTTTTTCCCTCCACTGATTTCGGCTTCAAAGGTTTATTTGCCCCACGATGGGAACATATTCACCCCCTCGCCCTCCCAGAATTACACAGATACAGTAGTTCACTCAGCCTTCACATTAGCCGATGGAGCTGGGACCCAAACCCAATAATGGGGTGCGTGATTCCATGGCATTTTTCCACCCCAATTCAGAGCAAAGAATCTTGAAGGGCCCACTTCCACATCCTTTTGGTTACAGTCCAGCACAGCAGACGGCGTCAGTGACTGGGCTCGAGTCAGACTCAGCCTGGAGTCAAGTGGCAGCTTTGCTCCTCTGTAGCACCATGGCCTTGCACAGGCTACTCCTTCTCTCTGAGCCTCAGTTTCCTCACAGCTAAGTAAGGATGTTAATAAAAGTACCCTCCACATGAGGTTTACTTTTATGTAATGAAATCAGGCTACATGGTTGGTACATACTATGTGCATTAAAATTTTTTTAAGGGTAATTGTTATTAAAACCCGTGTGTATCCAGAACCACGTCTTCAGCATCAAGCCCCACAAAGAGCTCACAGATCCAATGAAGCAGTGTTGCAAAAGATCTTGACTGTGTGGCTGCCCTGAAAATGTGAGTCAGAACTCATTTCCAGGGGCTCCAGCTAACACCTACTTTAATTGCCTTCAGAGTCAATACCTCCCAGGTTAAAAGAGTTGCCTGAGGTCTTACACAAAGTCCAGGGCCAGATATTGTTACGAACGCCAGGTGGTCAATTACACAATTATTTTAAAATCTTGCTCACACTCTCCTCGCCCACGGCAATGTTGAGAGAAGCTAGAAGAGGCAGGAGATCAGAAACGTTTTAACAAGAAGGCGTGAGCATCATGGTGGCATTTCCTGTTTGTTCCTAAATCAGGGATTTCAGAGTTGTGCATCTGTCATGGGCTTTCAGAAATGGGGAAAATCCCCTCGAGCTGCCTGGCCTTGTGGTGCAGCTCACTGCCCCTTGCTCCCCCATTTACCATGTTACTTCGGGGCAAGTTTCTGTGCTTGTTTCCCCAGGTTCCATCTAGATAGTCAGCACACACGCATGGTCTTCCAAGGAAAGCAGGGCAAACAAAGGGAGAGGGGATGGGTCCAGGGAACCAAAGTGGCCCGTGCGAATAGGAAGCCAAGCAGAGCCATACGGAGTTCATCACAGGAGAAGCAGAACTACCCAAGCCATTGAAATGTGTGTGTGCTGAGGGCACATCCGAAGCAGCTATTCTTCTCTGTGGCTTGCAAATTATTTTGTGGTTTCTCCAGAGTTCCTTTTGGGTGATGGCTTTTAAGCACCACCTGAGCCCATCCCAGCTTAGCTCTTGGAAAGTGACATGTAAAAACATTTCAGCACACTGGAAGAGTATCACTTTTTTCAAGTTCCACCCAAAGAATGAATGCAGGGACTATTCTCATACGCAGATGAATCCCTGCACCTTTGGATTGAATCTTCACTACATGGATCAGCTGAAATTTCAGGAAAGAAAAATGAGTTAAATAATTAACATTATGTAGACAAAAGCGTTAATGGAGTTAATGTTCCTCTTTTTAACATCATGTAAACACAGATTTAGTCAAAAGGTTTTTACTGAGTTACTTCAAGACACATAATACTGTGCACTCTGCAGTATCTGCCCAACGGGAAGAGGCTATAATAAAGGAGCCACAGGTCAAGCACACACTCACCGCACAGACAGCAAGTGATTACACTATAATCACAAGCGTGTGTTTGGGGTGATATGGGGGAGTGACCAGGGGCACCTTCCGACTTGTTCCACATACAAGAATCCATCAAAAGTAACAAGAGAGGGAACACTGGCCAGCAAATGCGCCAACACCCCACATTTTTCCTTTGAAGCCTGCACTCCTTTGACCTCAGGAGTCATTGATTTGCTGTCAAACCCCAAGATGTCATAGAAGGGTCAGCAGAGAAGGCTCCAGGGGGAATGTTTTCTGACTCAGTAAATGTATCAAGACTGGGAAACTGAAACAACCCTCGAACTCCACGTGGTCTTGCGTGTTCCCCTTTCACCTGGTTCCCCTTTGAAAGTAAATCTATAGCAGACATTAAATAGGTTAGTGGGCTGGGGGAGGGGAAAGATGGTTTAGCCTGTGTTTCATCCCTTGGAACAGATTTTAAGGACTTCATAGCAAACACAAAGGCTAAACTCAGAACCATTTTCAAGTATAGGTATAAGGGGGCAGAGTGTTCTGTCAGGGTTTAGAAGCTGATATACATACAGGTCCAGGCTGGGGCTACAGGTAAATATAATACAGCAAAACTTAGCCAGAAGAAAAAAAATACAGAAATTAAGGTGAAAGTGTCACATGATTGGTTATCAAAAGAATAACGGGAAAGGCAATAATACTGAGACGTGCTAGCAAGAACTGTGTCCACAAGAAAATGTGTGAAGAGTAGAATAGGAAATCTTTGTAAATGAGCCCAGAACTAAAG